TTCTCCCTTTGTATCATCTCGTACTTTCTTTACCTCACTGAAAAGAATGATTCTATATACTTAAAAATAGAACTCATTTTAGAGTATCTATGGCCATACAGTTATGAAATGCCCTACCTCTCCTTGTGTCAGTGAGACCCTTTCATGGTTGTCAGCTGGCATGATCTGTGTGCACATGATGTGCTGCCTGAAAGACCATGTGACTGTGAGGGTAAATTACACCGTCCTAAACCTGCATAATAAGATATCTACACAGCAGCTATTCTGGATCTTTTCTACTTTTTTCAGATAGGGTCTTGCTCTATCACCCAGGCTGGAATGCAGTGGTGTGATTACAGCTCACTCACTGCAGCCTTGACTTCCTAGATCCTTGTACCTCGGCTTTCGGAGTAGCTGGGACTACGAGTGTGCACCACCACACCTGGCTAATTTTTATATTTTTTATAGAGACAGGGTTTTGCCATGTTGCGTAGGCTGACCTTGAGCTCCTTGGCTCAGGCAATCCTCCAGCCTCGGCTCCCAAAGTGCTAGGTTGAGAAGTCATGAACCACTGTGCCCAGCCTATTTTTTATTCTTATTTGCCCACTTTTTACCTGGTATTTTCACATAATACTTCCAATGTTGGGAAATAGAAACATGAGAGTGGGGATTTTTAGACACTTAAAATACCTTAAGAAGTGTTTTTATTGTATGTAATATATATAATATATTGTTATATATTATTATATGTTATAATCTAGAAAATATATGTGTGTATGTGTGTATGTGTATATGTGTGTGTGTATACTAGGAAGTATTTATATACTTTCTAAATTAGCATAGAGGTCCAGTGGTCCCAGTGTTTTATTACTTGCCAATAAAATACTTACACTCTGATTTCTAGCTGTGTGATTTCAGGTAAGTTACTTCTCTATGACTCAGTTTCGTCATAAAATGGAAGTAATAAATGCAACTCCTCCAGAGAGTTATTGTAGGGGATTAAATGAGTTTATTCACATAAAAATCTTGCTCTTAGAATTCATATAAAGAATCTGACAATCTGAAGATCAGAATGAAATTTTCATGATATGAGGATTATAGAGGTACTTACACACACACACACACACACACACACACACACACACACATATCAGAGCCTTCCAATGATTTGTTGCTTGTCCAACTTTCCCCATTGGCAGTATATTCATGGTAAATCTAACTTTCATGAACATAAATTCCATATCCTCCCTAGTTGCAATCATTTCGTTTTTGAAATTGGAGAAATGCTGAATACTACAAGTGACCCATGACAAAGAAGACATTTTGAAGCTAACAAAATAAAGAAGATTACTACCAAAAATATGGCAGCAAAAATTAGACTGAGAAATTTGGTGAGAGATCATCTTGTCTCTATTCACCTCTATTATTTTCTAATATAGATTGTGGTTATGGTTATTGTCAGCTTTTATATAAAAGAAATCTTAAATGACTATGTAGTGTAGTACTTTCCACAATTTTTGAGTAGATGAGATACAGCATGTTCCTCATAATAGTGGGAAATCATATTTTTACGAAATGAACCAAATACAGATTTTAGACCTAAGAATATTTGCAACACATTAATCTTATCTATGAACCAAATGTGATTGGCAACCCTAACACTCAGACAGTTGTCAGAGATAAGCATGTTCGACTCCAACGAAGGTCCTTGAACCATGTAAAAATACAAGGGACTACAGCCAGAACAAAGGGAGGGTGTGCTTCCAGTATAAGCCATGTTTAGGTCATTTTTAAAGATAACTGTATGGAAATATTAAATCAAACTCTTTTCCAAAGATTTGTTGGCAATGTTAGATTTGCGTGCATGCCTGAATACTTACACTGTATGTATTCTTGTCCAATATCATGCGTGAAAACTTTCTTTGTTTCAAAGTGCGGGTTTTTTTTCAGCAGACGTTGTTCTTATGGCAAGTTTGTTGATTATCATTTTAAATTGGCAATGGTTGGATTTTCTCTGCCTTGTGAGGTGGTGCCAGAACATTCTGGAAAGGTTATACATTCAAGGCAAACATGTAAAGTGAAGGAAGACAAACATGCTCCTGGTAATTAATACAGTACATCCCTGAATAAAGCATATAAATCTTTCATTTTTGTATGTGTAATATGCCTGTATTTGTAGTCCTGAATCAACAATGTGACTGTTATCTTTTTCTATGTAGATTGCATGTTCTGATTTAAAATTTCAAAATGCTTTCTTATGTCAATGACAATCTTAATAGAGTCCAATTAGTTCCACAAGGCACTTTCTGATGCACAAGCCTCTGGCTTGATTGCGGTGAATGGTGGGTATTTCCTGTGTTTAAGCCCACATATGGATTGAGTAAGGCAGTGGCAGAGGGACTACTGTTTTCCTTCACTACATCTTCATTTCTTTTTCACAGGCTAAGCCTTTTTGTTTTTCCTGGCTCTGTTGTCAAAATACTGACCAAAGTTTTGGCTCATGGTTTGAAACACCAGGCCAAAACAATCCTCTGGAAACTAGTGTGGCAAAATATATTTTAACCTATACATTCATGTGCATAACCACACCCATTGACCCACGCTGTGGTTTAAAAACAACACGAGTTTGCCCCCAGAACAGTTTGATTTATATGACTAGTTTTTTCAGGCCTGCTCTATCAACATTAAAAAATGTTCTGAGGCTTGGTTTCATCACATCTCTGGTGGAAAAAAAAAAAAAGGTTTAGTTACTCTAGGTTCATTTGTTTTTCTTGTTTTTAAAAATAACGTGAATTTCTTGTGCATTCTGCAGAACTTCTTTGCAAATGGTATTGAAGTAGAATCAGAAAGTCGTTAATGCAATTATTATCAGTATTTCCTAGTGGGTTACAAATAAGAAAAGACTAAGAATTTTCCTTGAATGAGTCATCATATTTTCCTTTTAGGTTAATTCATAGTGATTAATTTCTCGAATTGTCAGAATCCACTATTTTTTGTCTTTCAGAAGTCCCGCATTAATTCTTTATGAACTATGTTTCAGGATATGAAAGCTCTAAGAGTTGATTTTCCCAGTCAAGCTTAAATACTACTCAAGAGATATGATTATCCAGAAGTTATCCTGATAACGTTATTATCTGTGGCCTCTGCTGTTAATTATTCAACCATTTCATTTCCTCCTTGAATATTCACTGAATCCCTCTTTTAAAGTTCTGAACTAATGAATTTTTGAATGACTGCCAATTGCCTTTTATGTCAACAAAAACAGATTTTGATTTGCATCTAAAAGTACCTGCTCCATTCAAGATGTTTGCCTTCAACAAGGCTACCCTGGAAAATTTTACTGAATTACATTAAATTTCCCACCTGGATTTTCTCCCAGATGAACAGCAAGAGCTAAAGTAGTCAAGAAAATATCCTTTGACTTTAAATTAAGTATTAAAACTTTCAGCAAAAGGCAATTTATAGTGTGTGCTGCAGAGAATTTTACGATTTTCCCTCTCTGAGCTAAAAGCAAAAAAAGAAAAAAGGAAAAAAGGAAAGTAAGGGAGAGGCAAATTCCTTTCAATTGTAAGCATCTCATTCATATTCTTTCTTCTTTTCCTTTTTTCTAATCTGATTTATATCTACAGGCAGTATGAAAAGAATAAAGTTTTTAAAGGTCCAAAATCTAGATCCTCCTCTTTGAAAGTAAAGGAAAATGTTGATTTGGGAAGATGGCATAAGAGAGAGAAGAGGTAGAAAAGGAATGAGGGTAATGGGATTTCTGATTGCTGGTGACCTACTTCCAGGTAGCTGATAATACAATGTTTATTTTAGTTAGTTGGATCTTTAGACTTGATTGTTCTGGTCTATATCTTCAATCTAATTGCTATTTGCTAAACTGTAAATTTCCATAAATCAGAGACATTCCAGGTTCAAACTACATTGCTACTTTTAGATTCCTGGATCTAGTGGCTTTCATGTGCATTTAGGAAAAGAGTATAAGATCTTGAATTGAAGACAGCTTTGGGGGTAGACACTGTCTGCCTGTCTGCCGGTACCTGTGCCTGTTACCGGGGTACCCTGGTTCTTAGAGCACCTAAGAATCTCTGACTGCTAGTAGTCTTCACCTGGAATTCACCAGGGCTTCACAACCCACAGTAAAAGCACCGGTGTAATCCGGCATCCAAACACATGCAACTCCAGGTGGAAGACGGAGTGCTGGCTATGACACATTGCTAAGTACATCTCTTTGAGGAAAGAGTACATACTCCAGACTTCAAGGGACATATAACTGTCAAGGAAAACCCACAAATGCATTAGAAGGCCAACAGTATACCTGGATCTCCTACATTTAAATGAGCTGTTTTCATAAGCTAAACTGTATCTTGTAGTGCACCTTATAGATAATTAAAAATGTGTAGTCATTTGCAAAAAACAAAAGAGAAAAGCTGAAAATCCTTGGAGCAAACAAAATTGTTATTTATGAACAAGAGGGCTTATCTTTATATCTGTGATCTGTTTAAATATTGGTGCTAGAAATACTGGATATTGAGTATCAAGGGTTTTTTAAAATTAACTATGACTAATAAAATATTCCTTGAAAGGTTCAAAATTTTAAAAACGCAATAGTGCACTATTTCTTTAGAATGTACAGTTTATCACCTATTACTAATACATTTTTACTCTCATGCAACAGACATACATCTGTTTTTAATACTTGCTGTATAGATTCATTAGCCTACCAGTCTTTCTGATGTTTCTGCAGTGGCAGAATAAATATCATAATTAACGCTGTTTTTGTGCTTATATATGCCCTTGTTGTAGAAGATCAGAGATGTTATTGGGTTTGCTAATGTGACCTTGTTTTCCCCTCAGGTGATTAGCTTAGGAAATGAAGTGTGTCCACTCATTATCCATTGGAGGTTGCAAAGATACCACAGACAATCAAAATTTTAATTCCAAATGAAAAGAAAGCATCATTCTTTAAAAGTGTTTAGAAGGGTGCACAGCAGGGCATATTTTCTTTCTTACTGGCAAGAGTTTGTAACTGGATATGTTAACATTACTGAGAACATGAAAACATGAAACAAAAGTATTGATTCAAGAATTTACTGAAGAAAAGAATCCAAGTGCACACTGGCTGGTTTTAGTTTATTCCTTTAAAGTATGAGTTACATCAGTTGTTTATGGCAGGCAGGTACAACTTGGCTGGTCCTTCTTGTCTTGCGTTTTTCAACATACATGAAAGAAAGTGTTATTCGTATTGCTAAATTTACATTATCTCCTCTTTAACTGCATCAGCTGCTAACTAGATCTAGAAATAATGACATTTAAAGGGAAAATGGCAACCATCTCCAGAAGACTGCATTATAATGGAAGAACCTAATTAATTTAACCTCACAATCCTACATAATGGCTAGCCTTCATCATTTCCACAGATGGAGCTCAGAGGAATTAACAGCATTGTACATCTCCACAGACTCCACAGATTGGCTGGCCAAGGGGAGATTTTTCTTTATGTTCCTTTAATGCACATATTGACAATGTCTGCTTGAAGTATACTAAAAATACAGAGTATGTGACATTAACAGGTGAAAATGAAAAACTCATTGTTGCGAAAGTACTTTGAAAGAGGCAAGACAAATTCTCTGTTAAGAGATGTGAGATCAAGAATTCAATATTACCTATAAATATTTTTTCAAGTGACTTCTCCCCTCCCTCCTCGCCCCTTCCCTCCCCTCCTCTCCGTTAAGAAAGAAAAAAAAAAAAAAGAAAAAATATTTTTTCAAGTTTAAATTGCAACAGAAAAGAAAAGCAAGTCTTAACCTGAGGAAAATTAGAGATTTGCAGGTGTCTATACCTAGTATTTGAAAATGTCATTCATTTCTTCCATGAATAATTTGTAATATTTTCCAGAACTTTTGCTAATATAAGAAAATGGAGCTATGTAGGGTTTTTGTGTTCATCCTCAGGTACAATAGGGAAGATCTGAAAAAGACAGTTGGATCACCAGATTAGTTTAGCTACTACGCTATTTCTTTTACAGTGACTCTTTCCCTAGACAACACTATGTACTGTCCCAAATCATTATCAGTGAAGAGGTCTGGGAGCATCTCTCCCAGTCGTTTTTCTTCCAAAGAAATCAAGTTACATATATTTTTAGTAAACCGTATATTTGTTACTTCACATTCCTTCAATGTGAGTATAAACATGGATACGTGTTTCTCTGATCACGATGAACAGGTAATCTCAGAAAATATTAGCAATCGTCTCTGAGGGAACCCCAGTTCTAAGACCTTACTGATAAGTTATATGTATCAGATGAAAAAACAGTTCCTTTAATAGCTTCCCAAGCAGACATGAAATTGAAATTATTTACTTGGGTCCAATAGCGATCATAGAAATAGGGAATGACAGCTTCGTAGTGTCATCAGAGAAAGAACATTGCGGGTATTAATGCAAACGGTCCCGCATTCATTCAAAGTCCAGGGCACTTCCGTGAGCAAGCTCCGTATCAGGGACGAGAACCGGCCTTTCCTCCAGGTGGTTACAACGAATGTCTGGATTTACAAACGTTTTCTGTCTGAGTGGTTTTTAAAGTCGTAGATCGAAACCTCCAAAATGTCCCAAATCTCTCTCCACCTCCAGAAAACTACCGTCATCTGCCCTCTGGGGGAGGACGTCTTTACCTGGAGAAAGCCCTATTGGTCTTCAAGTGGCACAGGACTAACAATTAGCAACCTCCCTAAATGCATTAGCAAAGGTGTTTCTCCAGGAAATGGTAACTGGGCGTCGTTTGCGTCCTGCACAGTAACCTTCCTGCTTCTTGGAAAGACCCGGAGACTGCAGGGACCCGGCTGACCCGTCCGTGCTGGTCGGCGCTTCCTGGCGCCTAGTTTTGTTCTGTTCCCGGACTGTGTCCCACGATTACCCCCAGAGCAGTGGCGGCCCCAGAAATTCTAGGAGGCCTCAGCTAAGGGTAACAGTTGGCTAGGGTCTTACGGCTGGAGGTGGGGGGACCTTGTTTTCAAGCTGCGCTGCGCTGCACGCTTTTATTTTTACCTCTTAGATAGGACGTTCCCGGCGGGCGGCTAGGGGAGGAATGTTAACCCTGCCCCAGCAACTCTTTAAAGGCTCCACCCCTGCCCTGAAACGGGTGGCTGGTACTTGGCCGCGGCTAAGACCGCCAAAAATGCGGGGATGTCCTTAAAGGAGAGAGGAGACTATGCTTTACTTACGGTAATTTTCTGCCCGCGGCCGTTTTTGACAGTAAGGAAATGGTACTGATCACAACACAGACTCTGGAAATGGTACTGATCACCACACAGACTCTAGAACTGAGAGATGAAAACGGAGGTGGGGTTAGGATTAGGGCTAGAGACCGCGGATTCTTAGAAATCAGAAAAGGGCGAGGAGTTCGGGGGCTGGTCGCCGGAATCTGTCAGCAAGAGGGCATCTGGGTTTGGGAGTGCTGGGTCCTGGCCTTGGAGCGCGTTATTGGGAGGAAAACGCCCCAGCCTGTTGTTACTCTGTACTTGGGTTAGAAGGGATGCACTGGGAATCCTATCCCGAGTCTACGACCACCTTGCTTGGTGTTCATTCATTGAATACATATTTAATGGTGGCTCTCCCTGCACCGGGAACTGTTTTAAACGCTGAGCATACAGCGATGTCATCTTGGGCAGGTCACTTGACTCCTGGGAATGTTCATTTCTTCATCGGTAGAACTGCAGGGTTGGACGACTGCGATATCGCTAAGATCTCTTCGGCTGTCAAATACGATACAGGCACGAATGGGTGTGCCCTCTACTGACAGATGAGCCCCCTACTCTCGGCAGTGGGCGGGGAGAAGGACCCGATAGGCCATTTTGCCTTGGTCACTTCTGGGCAGGAGAGATGCTATTGTTCCTCGTGCTTAAGCTAGCAGAACAGAACTGTGCAAAGGAGCGGAAATCTAACTCATGCTAGCCACGGATGAGGCTCATTTTCCAAAATACTGCCACAGTTTAGGTGGAAACTTTCTTCGGAAGCTTATCCTTGAGTATCTGACACTCCTTAATGTCAGAACAGGCCTCCCTTTGCGACAAACGCGCATTAGGCCCCTTTACAGCTAGGCGCCAAGGGCCGGGCCCGTCCTTACCCTCACCCTCACCCGGCGACTGTTGCCGTGACCCGGGGTCCCACTCCCGCATAGCGCTCGGAGGAGAAACCGACGCCAGTCGCTGCAGCCGGGGCTACCTCACTGGCTTGGCCTCCAACCTGCGCTGCCCTGTGCGGCAGAGCCGCTTTCCCTGTCCCAGTCCATCGAAACCTTGCGCTTCCCGGGCGTTGGTCTCCAGCAGACACTAAAAGTGGAGTATCAAAAACAGGGAGAGGACTGCCACGGCTACTCTGCCCCTGGGGTCACCTTGCGCTTTACCCCGGCACCAGCGAGGTGAAGCGTTTCGCTAATCCCCAGGGGCCCTGCGTCAGGGCAGCAGTATCCCTGCACCCTCTCCGCAGGTCGTCTCCCCGACGCCACAGGTGGCCAGCAGGGCCCGGGTGGGCGCAGGAGCGCCTCTCAACCGCCCAGGCCTCCCGCTCCTTCTCGGCGCGCTGTGGCGGGGTGGAGAGAGGCAGCTTTCTACCGCTAGTCCGGCTCGGCGCCGTTTCCGTCAGTGGCCTCCTAATCCCACAGCCACAGCGCCTTCCTCTAACCTCCCACGGTGGGTTTAAAGCCTCTTGTTCCTTCTGGCTCATTCCTCCTGCTCCCTCCCCCGAACCCCCGACCGAGAGCTGAGAACCTGCGCCAGTGACTGCGCCACAGTAGACTGGCCGCGGCCGCTGCGGAGTTGGGGGGAGAGGCGGGGAAGGGAGGGAGGGGCGGGAGGAGACTGAACCCTGGGAGAGGCCGTGGGTTGGGGCAAACCGATCCTCGCAGGGCTAAGCAGAAGCAGCTGCTAGTAATAGGCGCCGCCGGGAGGGGTTTCCGCGCCCAGGACACTAGTGGCTGCCGCGGGCGCGCGAGCGCAGGGGTGGCGGCGTGGAAACAGCGAGCCAGCGCCTGCAGGAGCGACCCCCAGGCCTCATCCGCAAACTTGCCCAATCTTTAAGGGACTCAGCAGCCCCAGGAGGCTTTCCTCACCTGCCCTCCTCACCAAGACGTCCTAAAATGCCCCTTACATTCACTTCTCCCACTCGAAGGAGCGCTCTCCTTTTCCTTCCTTCCATGCGAAGAATGGTGCTAAATAAGCGTTATTCAAACCTCCACAAGAACAAGGGATGGTGGACGTCAGTTGAAATCCCCTTACCTCTTCACACCCAGCATCCTTGCAGAGATGGCCACACACTTCCCATGGTTTCCTAAGGTCAAGCAGCAAGGACAGGCTTCACTTAGAAGGTTCTCTTGGGTTATCTTTTCCCAAGCACTTCGGAGAAGCAAAATAAGGAAATGTCTGCTGCCGTGTTAGAAGCTGAAAATATTAGACAAGTGTTTGTATGAAGAATTTGGAAGCTTAAGAAAATGTCTGTCGTGGATGGAAATCCATGACAAACCCAAACGGGTTTTTATCTATCATTTTCTCTCTCTCCACTACCCACACGAATGTAAAAACCCCGTGATTTTACGAAGCACACATAAACCACAGGCATTTGGCATTTGCTCTTGTGTTTTATTTCCATACATTCGTGAATTGGCAATTTGCCTTCAAAATCTATACATTTGAAAATATATCCTGAAAAAAAAAAGAAAAAGCTCAGCTCAACCTTTTATGCAGTTTTTTTGTTTATTTTTTGTTTTGAATTGGAGAAATGTTTTCTAAAGTCTTCCCTGCCACCCGGCCCCAGGTAGAGTCTCACTGCTTTTACAGCCTCTACTTCAGTGATATCCAGCAATAAAATCTTTGCGGTCCCCAAATACAATCACTCTAGAATTTCTCTCTTTGGATGTTTAGATCACGCAGAATTTTCATTACAATCTTGTTAACAGGTTTTGTTTAATTCAAGACATGTTAGAAAAGAAAAACAAAACTCAATATTTGTATGGGGAAATAATTTTTCTTAAATCTTGACGAGCTATAAGAAGAAGCACTTTGATTTATCTTCTCCTTTCCAAAGAAAATTCGTTTCTTTTTCAAATGATGCATCTACATTGACAGTTTATCTTTTCCTTTTATTTACAATAAATTATTTTTAGCCCAAAAAGGCACATTCTGAAGCAAAACAGCTTCCTGAAGCAATCCACTTTCTTTTATTTATCTGCCTACCTGTTTAGCTACTCAAAACATATCATAAAAGGATGTTCTTTCATCTTCTCTAGTTCCCGAGGGCCTGACTGCTCTCTAAAGGAATGAAAATGTTCTGTTTGAAGGAGTTGATACATCTTTGTGTCTTAGATTTGGACAAAGAAGCTGTTTGTGATCTTTGGTAAAATAATCTACAGCTACTTTGAAACAGCCTCGGTAATTGCATCTCTCTTTTGAGGTTTCCCGGCAAAAATATCCACGACTTGCCGCTTGTACGTTTCTTTCCATAGACAGGTCCCTGTTCAGACCATCACCTTCCCTCTTCCACTTTTATTGGATAAGTGCAGATGTGAAGAACCAAAAACAATACAGACTGGGAAAGAACAATGGAGATCTCGAATTCTCAAGCTGCACCACAATTTCCAGTTTCACTTCTCCTCTCTTCCCCGCCTCCCCCAGCCTCCTGTCCAATTTGCAGTACCACGTGTGCGGTTCTACATCCCACAGTCTCTTCTCGAGTTTCTTATACAGTTTTTGTTTTTTTCCTCTCAAGTAGCCAGGAAAAAAAAAAAAAAATGCCAAGGGGGGAAAAGGCCTGAAATCGAATTGCAGATCCACCAGGCAGAGCTACAGGTCGCGCCTGCACACAGTACCAGATCCCGGAGTCTCTCAGGACTTCTAGGAGACTGCCTCAAAATACACCAGCGTCCTAGGCTTGAGAAACGAGATAAGCCTTGCGTAAGAAGCTAGATTTCCATAGAGTGAAGGTGAAATCGACGAAAGAAAATCCTCCTACCTGAGGTGAATTTTGCTTAACTATATGAACTGGGCTCAAGTCTTTTCTTGGTCTTTTGGTCATAGGATTCCTCCCAAGTCGCCACAGACTTGCGGGCGACCCCTCTCTCTCTTTCTTTCTCTGTCCCCTCCCTCCCAAGCTCAATTTTCACATCAAATGAGCCATCCACTTTTGATCCTTGCAACCATATCTGCAGTATTTCTGGAACACAAACACTTATTTGTGATGCAAACGATTTGATCAGCATTTCTAGCTCACAATTAATTTTCCACATGCTTACATATCCCCCTGTGTCTCGCCTCACTGGCAATCCACTTCTAACAGCATAGAGTACAGGTCAACACAGACACGCCAGGTTTTGCCTCCGTGGATGTCATTGCATCTGCTTGCATGTAGGAATTACCGGAGTTGCTGGGACCCGACCCAGACCTATTAAATTAGTGACTTGAGACTGCTAAGGAGTTATACATAACTTTAAAGATTAAAAATTGTTAGAAGGGATCACACTGCGGTGACCACAGGATTCATGTTATCTTGTTTGCATATGTAAGTGTATGAGTAACTGGTTTTTACTCCAACAAACATTTTGTCCCAGCTGATCAGTTTTCCTTAGCTGTTGTGATTTGAGTTTTCCTTTTGCATATATACATTCTATGATTTTAAGGAAAGTATCTGTATTATGTTAGATTTAGGCAAAATTTGGGCTAGCCATTTACCTCATCATTATCTTCAGCAAATTAAGTGAAATCCTGGGACAAATATTTCAGAATAAAATGGCCAATAGTTGTTAGTATACTGTGCATTCTGAAAAACAAATGATACAATTTATCCTTTGGAGTTCCTCGTTTCAAACTCACCACAAACATATGGTTTTCAGTTTATACATATGTTTAATATCAGGTAAGAGCACTGGTTTTAAGTGATGCTATAAAGCAATTTTCAGTTTTCTTCTTTAAAGGATAGCTTAAGAATAATGCATTTATTTGATAAAAATAAAATACCCTAGCCAAACAATACACACAAAATATCTCCTGTTAGGAGAGAAATCACAAGGAGGCAAGGAATAAACAAAACAGAAAACAAACAGACAACAAAACAAACCAAGTCAACCCCAATCAGCAATTCAGCCCTCTATCTGACTAATATTCAATGCTTAGATTTTCATTACCCAAAATAGCTTTTCAGTGCTTCTTGTTATATGTTAAGAAGTGAAGACAATTACCATGTTGGAAACTTAATTTTCCTCACTCTAAATGTTTTATACTTACCAAACATAATAATGTATTGTTAGCTTTCTTCTTTCCACTACTCCTTTGGCACCAATTTTGGCACTTTGGTGGTGCTTGGTTTGGCATACAAGGCAAGGAAGTCTGAAAATTATTTTTACTGCTACCTCTAGGACTACTCTTCAGGCTTATTGTTGGCCAATGAAGAGCTGCTTGTTTTGTTTCAATGGGCCTCCATCCAGCCTATGTTTTTATAGAATAAAACCTTTAATGTCACATCTTTTTGATGAACCCAAGCTTTCATATCCTGGCCTTTGTAACATAAGGGTATACCTGTTTAGTTTTGTTTTTGCATGATGACAGAACTCACAGAATGAAATAGATTTTTCTTTTTAAAAAGTTTAACAGTAATTTACAATTGTAAACCAAAGTCAACAAAAGTATTATCAGCTATCTGTCAAAACCATGGTCAGGAAATAGCAAATGAGATTTAACCTAGATAAGTGCAAGTAGTATGTCTGGGGAAATAAAATCTAAAAGTCATAAACCTGAGGTCCACTCTTCATGAGTCAAACTTCGAAGCATTTCCTTTCTGCTGGCCATTAGTGTTTACTTCTGGAGCATGCAGTTCTGGAAGAGCAAAATGATGAATATTATTTTTAAAATTTACCCGCATTTTTATTCTTGAAGAAAAAAGTGCTATATTTAAAATTCCCAAGTTGTGAGAGAAAATAATAAATCTGATGTTTGTCATATGATGTAGACATTTTAAAAGAACAATCAACCATTGCCTTTCTTGGGGGGAGAGGGAGAACACGTAACTGATACATTGAGTAATCATATTCCCCAAAAGCACTTGTTAAATATCATTTTTGTAAATGTCAACTCACAAATGGATATGGTAATAAATAGAAATATCTGGATAAAAGTGAATGAAAGTTCAGGGAAGTTTCACCTGTAACAGCTAACAACAAAAAGCATGTATATAGGCATATATGTGACAACAAAAATATATATACATATATATGTATACATATTTCTGCCAAGAGAAAAAAGTGATAAAATAAAAATTAGATAAATTAAGTTAGATATTCAGAAACATTTTATCTCAGTAACCTTGATTCACTAAAAGAAAACGTTCAACAAAATGGGTTTTACTTTTTAGTTAATTAAATATAAAGTTTGGCATAGTCTTTATGAGACATAGGTAAGACAGTAATTGAAAATTAACCTGAAGTCTTTGCTTTAGCGAAAATCTGGCCAAGAATCCTAGTGTTGCATTCCTCACTTGGTCTCCTAAGCTGTCAGTGACTAAAGATAAAAGTAAGCTTGTTCCCTTCACCCCAGGTCCTTTCACTGCATACCTCCCAAATCCCTGGTATAATTAAAGAATCTGTCCTTTAGAAGTCTTAATGGGGAAATTTACTTCCTAATGTTAGTCAACAATAGCTGCTTTGGAAAACCAGTCCTAATGTAATAAGAAATTGGGCAAAAAAGTCACAATTTATGGCTCACTTAATAAGTTCCTACCTAGTGGGTAAACTTCTCCATAGTTTAGTTCATACCTATTTTAGAGGATCAATGGGCATAGAAATTAATTTTCAGATTACAGCATATTCCCATAAAGAGTACATGTACTTATTTATAATATAAAGGTCTGAGAGCTTAGAGATTGTTTAGTCTAACTTTTGTTGGCATTATTAATCTAGTGCCTTCAACTAATGCTCTCTAGACTGAAGAGATGCACTTTATACTGAAAGAGTTAACATAATTCCTCACCATGTTAAGTGATTTAACTAAGTGAAAGAAAAAAAGCCCAGTATTGGAAAAGAATGATTCATTTTTAGAAACGGTTTCTTTGTTTCTGTGTATAAGAAAATTCCTGCTGGTACCTGAGGAGTTGGCTTCACTCTAAGCTGTTCCCACATGGTCCAGTCTTCTCTCACTGATGCTCAGGAAGAAACCTTGATCTCAGTTAAAGGGTTGTATCTTCATTCTCCTTCTTAAGAATAACTCCTTTTAGGTGCATTTGGCAAGTTTTTCTATAGGAAATTACATTGCCAAACTAAATAATGAAGAAATTTTCAAAGTGTGTCCCTGTGTGAGATAAAGAGAGAGAGAAAGAGAGAGAATTTCTTTTGAATTGGGAGTGATTACAATATACCTAACTTCTTAGTGTAGGAAGAGTATAAATGCTCAAAGTACTAAAAACTCTTGTTGATGTTTGCCCTTTGCCTTTTGTAGATCTGTATTTGAGAATATGAATAGAACTCAAGTTTAAATGTACATTTCTGTCACGTGTTCTGTGTTTATGCCATAAGCCAGAGTATAACTCTACAC